AGAAGATCAACAAGGAAACAAGGGCTTTGAATGACATACTGGACCAAATGGACTTCACAGATATATTCAGAGCATTCCATCCTAAAACAACAGAATACACATTCTTCTCGAGTGCACATGGAACATTCTCCCGAATAGATCACATACTGGGTCACAAATCAGGTCTCAACTGATACCAAAAGATTGGGATCATTCCCTGCATATTGTCAGACCATACTGCTTTGAAACTGGAACTCATGTGGCGGCAGAAGCAGACAAGCAAGTCAGGAGCATGTTCCCATCCACCTGTAAAGGAACTGGGGGGAAGGGCATTCTTTTAATGAGCACTAGTGTTGTTCCCCCACACTTGGCTATAAACTAAATGTAGACAGACCACATTTAGATCCAAAATAAATAACCTTATAATGATCTGAAACTCCTCAATGATTCAGTCTCTCTGGATCCCTTGATCATTGGATCTTCAAGGATTGATCTGTCATCAAATGCCTTGAATGCCTTCCTAGATACCAACTGTTCATTTCACAGAATCACCAGATGGGAGCAGAGGTTACCAGGATTTTCTCTGACAATAACTCAAAAAGAAAGTCTGGAGTGGTTCCACATCTTTTGAAGGTTTTGTACAAGTGTCGAATATTTTGGGTTAAAAAAAAAGCAAATGTTAAATAGTAGTTGTTTGTAATTATTCTTCTAAAAGAGTTTAGGATTACCCCTTAGTGACTTAATAAAGCCCTTTGATTACAGTCTTTGAATGAGGTGCGTGCTGACTGGTAGATCATCCATGAGCTTGGGAGGCTTTGAAAGCCTCATTCATCAAAGCCAGCAGTTTTGGCAAACTCTGAGCTACAGCTTTAATTAGCATTATGTTGCTTTCTTCAGTTTGGATTTTGCATAAGTTAAAGTAGCCAGGGAAATATTTTACTCAAATCCACCTGCTCACTCAGCATCACCTACCCCTTTGGTTTTCCATAAATATCTCAAGATGAAGAGTTGACAGTCTACTTGTTTCTGTACTCACAGCTTGGGTGCCTCAGTTGAACACATGGAAAGGTAGAGTTTGGGGGCTTTGTGACTCTTCTTGAGCCAGGGAAGTGAGTACCCGAGGCTGTTTTCTTAGTGCCTTCCTTGATCCCCATATGGCTCTTAGGTTTGGAGCTGGCCTTATAATTAAGTCAGAGCTCTAGCTGGCTTTGATGTTTGCCCTGGCATAATCTTCTACTTTTTCTGCCTATCTTTAGAAACCAGCACTCCCATAAGTCACTCTTAGAACTGCCTAGATCCTTTATGTAGGCACCTGTGTCAATCTGACTTCTAATTAAGTAAAGTGATAAATAACTTTGGCCTATCTGTAAGCCAATTTCTATAAACATAGAAATGAAAGAGAACAAAAAGTACTCTGCAGGATACACTGTATTTTGCAGTTAGTTCTCCCTAATATTGGTATATTCTTCATTCACTTCCATTTGAATAGTGTATGAGATTTCAGCATTTCTCTCCAGTACTGGAGGAGAGAGGAAGAGGAACATGGATGAAGGTGTGCCAGCTGTAATGGGGCTGGCCATTCACCATAAGAAATAGCTTAATGCATCATGGCAGTTTGGGTGGATTCTCTTTGTCCTCCTTTGTTTTTGGAAATGGGTATCTGACTATAAAGAGACCCCATATCTTACAGAACTTACTGATGCCCTTGACCCCATTGAGCACTTTCAGTGCCTTCCAGGATAAAAAGGGAAGTGGATCTTTTCTTTCCACATTCCATATTCTTCTCTCTATGAGCAGATGAGTACAACTGTGTTCACTTTAAGTAAGCAAGAGTGTGTTGAACACTCCCAGGTTCTTTCAGTGGAGTATTTATTGCCAGATGTCTGTAGAAAACCTCTCACTCCTCCTTCAGCCTCAGCTGCCTCACACAAGGGCTCAACTGGTCAAGACAGGGATATAAAGACCTTGACATTTGGGCCTGAGGTGAGCTAACTTTGATGGGCAATATTTGCTCCAGAGGTCCTCAGGGGATCGGCTGAGGCTTTATCATGCTTGCATCACAGACTTTTCCCTCCACCCAGTACAGCTTCTTTCCTCTCCCTTTCATAGGTGCTGATCCTTCATAATTTCCTCTATGCCAACTCTGTCTCAGCATCTGCTTTTGGATAACCCAACCTGCAACACAAAGCAAGGCTCTTTCCTTTCCATCAACCACATACGCCAAGCTAAGCTGTGACTTCTCTAAATCCAAAAGCAGTGGCCCGTGGTGGTGGTGGTGGGTGGGTGGGGGGCACAGAACCTGGTGGGACCATAAAATTATGGATTCCAAAGATATCAAGAACCAAGGATGTGGGTCCTTTGAGTTCATCAAATCCAGATTTTAAAAAATTGTATTCTGAGGAAGATGTTAAGGAGTACTCCCCGCAACAAAGTTCCCAGGGCAGAAACATTTAGGAACTACAGCACACATTTCTCTTTGGAGATTTGTCATGCATATTCATGAGAAATTCTGTTGTAAGGAACATAATTTATCTTTAGCTTCATGATCATTATCCAAATTTATTTGATTTTGGAATCCTTCTATTCCCATGAAACAACCATTAGTATCTCACAGTGCTAGAGTTCTTTTGATAGCCCTTTGGGAAGCTACAGAGGAGACATATGTAGAAATTGAGTCTCAGATAGACAAAGGAACTCCCAAAGCCAGCAGAATTAACTCTTGGTAGAATCAGGACTGGAACGTGGGGCCCTTGATTTTTTTTTTTTTTTCTAGTACTTCCTGTGAGGTCTAGCTTCCTCTCTCATGTAATCCTAAGGGAATGTTAAAGTAAAATTTTTTTGGTCTCATTTTCAGCTGAGGCTCCAACACATTAAAAGCAAACTACTCCTACGTTCCAAAAAGTGGTGCTAGACCTCCGAGCAAGATTCCCAAATGATGAGGCCGACCACCAGGAAGCAGCTCTCACCAAGAGGCTGAAGTTGGAAACTGGACAGCTGTCTTGAGAGAGTGGCTGTTGTGCTGATATAATGAGGGGGTTTGGCTCTCCCTTCAGACAAAGTGACAGTGGCTTCCGGGGACTACCCCAAACACTGGTTCACATTTCCTGCCAAAGGGAGGCTGGAAATCAGCCTGCAGCTGCAGATCAAAAAGCCATGCTTTAGGAATACCCACAATCCCACCAGTGATGGGACAAAAGTGACTTTTTTCCACAGTGGGCTTGAGAGAGAGCTCACCTGGAGTCCTCAAAAACGGCTTGGCACAAGACAGCTGTCTAGAGTGGAGATCAAACCCGAAAAATGATTGTCTGTGAAGGTGGATTATTGAGATTCAGAGCCAAAGAAAGGTTTTAAAAAGCCAGTCAGAGGTCACGGCCCACACCGAAGACACAGCAGGTGTGTCATCCAATGATTGGGGGTTCTCCAAAGAGCTCAGGGAGGTCTGGCCCAGCGACCGAGTCTGCTTTAAACGTCAGCGTGGCTAGGGCGAGCTAATGCTGGCCCAGGGTAGGAGGGAAAGCACCCTCTAGCTCTCCCTTACCTGATTTCTTTTTCCTTCCAAATCACCATAACTTGCTAGTGGGGAAGCTGGAGGACCTGGCAGGTTGAGCAAAGCTGCAGCCAAGCAGGGCCGCTCTCCCGGTGCAATGCCTGCAACAGCCACTAGCTGAGAAGTGCTAGGTGCTAGGAGATTCTTGTTTGGAGCTTTACAATTTAATATTACATCGTACTTCATCCATTATTTACTTACTAATGGCTGTTCTTATGCCTCCAAGTTACTGGAAGCCTTTTATTCTCTAGGAGAAAGGCTGTGAAACCTGCCCAGGATTTCATTCAAGGAGGGGCTGGGGTATGGGTTATGCATAGAAAGGAGCAGACAACAGATTTGCAGAGGCAGTGCTGAGAAAGAAAAGTCATGATATGACGCCATGAGAACAGTGTAGTAGGGACTGTGGAGCCAGATCACCTCAGTTCACATCCTACACGTCGCTGTTTCCAAGTTACTTAAATTCTCTGTTCTTCTGTTTCCTCATCTGTAAAATGGGAATAATAATAGAACCTACCTCATAAAGTTATTTTGAGAATTAAATTGGTTAACATATAACAAACACATAGAATAGTGCCAGACACCCTAATAAATGCTTTATAAATAGTGGCTATTATGTGACTAGCAGTTTTGTCACGTAAGCATGTACGAGGATCCCAAGAATGACTGTTCCAAAGTTGATGGGAAACCAAAATACACGTTATTAAGTGAATTTGCTTCCCTCTTGAACTAGGCCTTCCTAGTGTCCCATGATAATGAGGTAAGCCCACTATCATTCTATCCGATTTCCTTTCTCTCTAGGAAAAAGTACGATGTATGCACAGCTGGCTGTGTAGACACTGGCATAACTCCCCAGCAGGCACCGATAAACGCTGTTTCCTTTATGAACGGGGAAAACTTCCGGTCTTCCCAGAGGCCCCAGCGCCAGGCCTTGCTGTTGAAGGCCGATTTCATCGGCAGGTCGGCAGGAGGTGCTGTCCTGTGGCAAATCTAGTATTCAAAGCAGAATTTAAAACAAGAAATTTAAGAAAATTTGACATTTAATTTCTATATTAATGAGTCATGTCACTTGTTCTTAACTATGAGCTACACACTTAGCATTTAAAACCAGCCATCCATTTTGCACCATATGCAGTTGAGTTAAACAGTAGCCACATATGAACAAGAAGGTCAAAGATGTATTTTTTTACTTTTGTGTTCCCAGTTTGCTTGTCTCTGTTTTGTATTTACTGCTTCTCTTGTCACGTAAATGATCTGAAAGATGATTTTCCAGCACTAGGAAAATTAGACTATAACAATACGATGAATTTATGAATATAATTAAATTATTATGAAGAGAGAACAGTCATCACCTTGTCAACAGGGAACATACACATAAATGAACTGGCAGTGCATTGTTTAGATTTCTTATGTATCTTTATCTGTGTGACAAATCTTTGAATTCTTAAAAATATAATTGAAGGCGCGCGCTGGTCACGCGGCCCGGTGTTGACACTTCCGGGTGGGACCAAAGTGAGGCGGCTGGGCAGGGGCTGGTAGCTCCGACGGCAACCATGGCGTATAACTGCCTCACGGTGCCTCTCATCGTAATGAGCGTGTTCTGGGGCTTCGTCGGCTTCTGCGTGCCCTGGTTCATTCCTAAGGGTCCCAACTGGGGAGTTATCATCACCATGCTGGTAACCTGTTCAGTTTGCTGCTATCTCTTTTGGCTGATTGCAATTCTGGCCCAACTCAACCCTCTCTTTGGACCACAGTTGAAAAATGAAACCAT